TCCATTCTCTTGTTCTTATTCTCTTTTCCTTTAATTTTATTGGACATTATCTGTACGAAATTGGTTTTATGTACAAGATTTTTTCCTATGGAAATTAGATTAATCTTGGCATGATGCCCTATAATCAAATCCATCAAAAAAAATTCATGCATGAGTTGCCTTTATACATAATTATGCCACAAAATGTTATCGGTTATTATTATTATTATTATTTTTTCAGAATGAAGGTAAATAAACAATAGTTTTTTTATTACTATAGATCAATATTATAGTAGATACATATATTATCAATATCTACAAGAATATTAAATTGATACTCGTGAAAAGACATAATTTTATATATAATATGGAAGAATTTGTTGCTCTCTAAGAAGTACAAATATGGGCATATCAATATTCTAGACGAACATCATGTCGTCACTGAAGAAGCACGACTTCTTTATTTTTAAGAATATTATGCTATTGCAACATAGAAGCATAAAATTTATACGTATCGATAATATAGAAAAATATTGCATTGTTATTGAAGAATAACAAATTTATGTATATCAATATTTTGTTCATACTCCCGAATAAATATAATGTCATAAATTTCGATACTCTAAAATAATATTGTGATTTATAATAATAGTTGACTAAGTTTAGGCTCCAGAAGAAACATAATTAAGATCTTATTTAGTAGAGAGTTTTTAACAATAAATTTTGTAAATGTGATTTTTTTTTTAAATGTGATTTAAAAATAAGAAAAAGTTATAGGTGAACGTAAAAAATTAGGGTATTTGGCGCAAAAAATCCTTACCTTTCGAGGTTATTGTGGAAAACGTCCCTACCTTTCATTTTTTGGCATTTTTGCCCTTATTTACCACCTTTCTTGCGCTGAAGGTCCTTTTCACTGTTTTTTGACGATTTTGCCCTCTATTCAAATAAAAGAAAAAGAATAGAATAGAAAACAAAAGAATTAATTGCAACTAATACCCCAAAATTTCAAAAAATTACAAATTAGTAATAAATATAGGAGTTAATAGCCCAAATGGTTACTAAACTTTGCCAAAGGTCTAAAAAGGTCATTGAACTTTTTTAAATACAAAAAGAAAAAAAAACAAAAAAACCAACAAAAAAAATTGAAGAAACGGGCCCCACCAACGAAAAAAGGAAAAAAAAATAAGGAAGGTGAAAATGGAGGAAGGTGAAAAGTAAACCAAAAATTATTTTTTATTTTTTCAGTCGTACATTTTTAATCAAAATTTATTGAAAATTTTATTTTTAAAAATAAAGAAAAAAAATATAGATTAGTTTTGCTAAAAATAAAATTTTCAATAAATTTTGATTAAAAATGTACGACTGAAAAAATAAAAAATAATTTTTGGTTTACTTTTCACCTTCCTCCATTTTCACATTCCTTATTTTATTTTTATTATTATTATTTTTGGTCCTTTTTTTTGTTGGTGGTGCCCGTTTCTTTAATTTTTTTGTTGGTTTTTTTGGTTTTTTTTTCTTTTTGTATTTAAAAAAATGACCTTTTTGGACCTTTGGCAAAGTTGAGTAACCATTTGGGCTATTAACTCCTATATTTATTACTAATTTGTAATTTTTTGAAATTTTGGGGTATTAGTTGCAATTAATTCTTTTGTTTTCTATTCTATTCTTTTTCTTTTATTTGAATAGAGGGCAAAATCGTCAAAAAACAGTGAAAAGGACCTTCAGCGCAAGAAATGTGGTAAATAAGGGCAAAAATGCCAAAAAATGAAAGGTAGGGACGTTTTCCACAATAACCTCGAAAGGTAAGGATGTTTTGCGCCAATTACCCTAAAAAATTATTTTATTGGAAGAATATGAAATTAAAAAGGTGTTTGAAAAAAAAAAGGGCGAAACGAGGACTAAATATAATATGATTAATTATCATATAAAAAGCACAACTTAACTACATAAATTTCGAGAAGAATATTAGTTTGTTGTTTTTGAAGAAACCAAAACTTTATACAAATCAATATTCTAAAATAATATTGTTTGTCTTGAATTCAACTTTGTACAAGCATAACTTATATACAAATATTTTTAAGCGTACTGGTATTGATACTCATATGGTGAAAATATTTAGGATCTTCAAGGTATACGGACCTCCATGATATTATTATATTCTTTTTATTTGGAATTTCGTACTCGTAAATTTCCTTCTATTCGAGTAATACTATTTGTAGATAATATTATACATAATGATAACAAGAAAAATTATAATAAATGAATTTCTTTTCTTTTCGTCTCTTTTTCTTTTTCTTTCTCTTACATGTCATTATTATGTACGATATTATGTACAAAATCAAATAGCATTACTCCTTTCTTGATTAGTAGTTTCTCTTAATAAATAAATAGTGATTTTGGGACTTTAGGCACATGAAGTTGATGACCAATTATTTAACTAATATTATTTAATCTCACTGAAGTTGCAACCCCAAATCAGATTATGCTAATGTAATATTAAATGATAAATGAAACTAAATGGCTCGTGTAATTTAACCTATCATTGAGCACCTCCTAAACTGGGTTTGCAACTTCAGAGAGATTATATAGCATTACTCATGGTTTCCCTAAGAATTAATATCTTTCATGGAAGTTATGACATTACTTATTAAGCCATTTTTTCAAATTTAATATTCAGATTTTAATTTAAATCAAAATCAACAATTTATTTTAACAACACATTTTATATCACCAACAATTTTTTAGTCACATATTTCATCAACCTTTATTAAAATCCAATAAAAAATCGATTTTAATTCCCTAAAGCAGGGCTAAATTGTATGGCCTATAAGTAAGCGAAGGCCTAAAAAAATTCATTTCTTTTTAAATTATGGATTTCTATTGGTCATCATACTATTTAAAAATATATCAAAAAATTATATGTAATTTATATTAAATACACATTTTATAAGATCTACAACTTTTTAGTCACATATTTCATCAACCTTTATTAAAATTCAATAAAAAGTCGATTTTAATCCCCTAAAGCAGGGCTAAATTGTATGGCCTATAAGTAAGCGAAAATGGGGTCAAAAAAATTCATTCTTTTTAAATTATGGATTTCTAGTGGTCATCATACTATTTAAAAATACATAAAAAAAAATTACATGATCTTTCAGAAGAAAGATGTCTATGCATGAATTTTCCAACTTGTTTGAATTTGTTTTTGATGTTTGACCTAATAGCTTTAAAATACATGAAGTTGGTTATGGCACGTAATTTTCAAATTGAGATTTTTCAGTACATTATAGTCTATTTTTTTATACATCTAATATCAATTCTAAGACTATAGAGGAATGGTTTTTGGTACAATATGGGTGATACGATATGGGTGAATAATTGGCATGCTTTTAATTTTTCTAGTTCATATTAACTTGTAGATGGCGCTACATTGATATTGTTCAAATTTTCCCCGTATTTGCTATAATTATTCAGTAATGCTACTCAACCCGGGATAAAATCCCGGGTTTGGAGCCAGGGGTCGAGGTGACATGATTTGAAATCCGCGGCCCCATGTGCTGCAAGATTGAGAGGGTTGAGGTCACGCCACCTCGGCCTTGGATCGGAACCTGGGATTTAATCCCGAGTTCTACAGCACGGTAGATAATTATTTGATTCATTGTTGATTTGGGAAAGTGAGATTAGACAATATTCTATTATTCACATATTGTTAGTATTTATCATATGTTCAAACACTTCAAAATTATGAAGCATTTATAAAAGGTATAATTTATAAATAAATAGAAGTGGTGTGATATAGGGATAATAACTGTATGCTCATTGAAATATGTTGTTAAAAATGAAATTTAATCATTTATAGAGGTGTAAAATGGAGATTTAGCTTGGTATGGTACAAATTTTTTCAAATCTCATTTTTTTTCTCAAAAATATTTTTAGTCACTCCTAATATTGCTAGAAAAGGTATCTATTGATTCTCTCACATTTTTGTTGGACCATACATATGATAATGTCCTTCCCGGGCGAGATATCTGATTCAAGTTCAAGATGATCCAACTGAGTCAAAGTAAAGGGCAATAACTCATTCTTAAAATCAATATTCTTAAGATCCCAGAGTCGAGTGAAAAGATGAGAAAGCTCTTCATTCCTTGCATGTGAACCATAATTTTTCTTAGGGTTAAATTCACTGATGACCACCCAACTTTTATACTTAGTGTCATCATGGTCACACAATTTGATTTTATTTCACCATGCCACCGAATTTCATATTTAGTGTCATCATGACCACTCAATTTAATTTTATTTCACCATAGCTACCTAATTTCATATATTATTTCATTATGGCCACCAAATTTCATATAACATTTCATCATTATCATCTTATTTCTTTTCACTAATTTTAAAAGGGGATAAAACAATAACTTTGCAAAGTTACTGTTATTTATGCATAATGTAAAGTTACCATTTTTAGCTCTTTTAAAATTAGTGAAAATTGTAATAAAAAAAAAAAGTTAGGTAACCATAATGAAATGTTATATGAAATTGAGAGACCGGTGAAATTTTATATGAAATTGGGTGGCTACAGTGAAATAATATTAAATTGGATGGCCGTAATAATACTAAGTATTAAGTTATGTGATTATGATGAAATAAAATCAAACTGATTAATCATAATGACACTACATATAAAGTTGAATGGTCGTAAGTGAATTTAACTCTTTTTCCCAACATTTAATCATACAGTTTCCAAAGATTTCACAAAATCTACTTTTAAATAAGTTACATCACACACACTCTTTAATGCAATCTTCTCTTCTGATCTTCTTCCATTCCGAATCTGATAGGTTCCAGATTATGTAAAATGATGGGTGCGCATGCACCTGATTAAATCCGAGGATCTGTCTAAAACACTGTACACGTCGATCCATGTTCTTGTCCACGTTGACGGTGTAGAATTATTAGATGCAAAAAATAACAGTTAACGCGTTACACTGGATTCATCGGCTTAGTACTTTAAAAACCCCCGGAATTTCGTTACCCATGAGCGTGTAGCAGTGCAGTCATTTCTGCACTTTTCGGGGAAAAATTAATATAAAAATATTTATTAATTAAAATAAACAAAAATCACGCGTTTCATTTTCTTCTCCGGCGTGCTTCGCCGGAAAATTCTGTACGTCGAATCACTGCAGGTTAATCATCCGGCAGAGGTAATTTTTTTGGCGATACAAATGAGTTCTCTCTATTGCTCTGTGCTCCATTTTATAGGGTTAGGGCTAATCTCTGTTTTGATCACGCTCTTCTGTTTCTCACTATCATTGATCATTTAATGAATGTAACTTTGTTCAACGTATGTATTTTTTTATCATTTTTCTAAAATTGATTTTGGGGCGTTTTAGGTTTTTATTGAGTGAAATAGAGTTTTCAAGTTGAATCGGTTGTTAATTTTGGTGGAGCACTCAATGCTGTATCACCCCCCCCCCCCCCCCCCCCCTGTTTTTTTTTTTTTACAATCCCTCTTTTTTTCAACAAATACGTCAAAATAGAGGCACAAATACACTCTTGTTAGATCCCCTAATTGCTTGAACCCCCCGGCCTTGTTTTTATTGTTTGAAGACTGATGTCAAGTTTTTTGATTTTCTACATTGTTTTAAATTTTTATATTCTTGCATGTGGCATTGGCTAACACAGATAAAGTGGCTCGATAAAGATACGCAGCTGCTTCAGGAAGGGAGTTGATCAATGATTTAACATTTCCTTCATCGAAGATTGAGTGAAAAATGGTAAAATTCCAAATTCGATTAGGAAATTGACATGAACTTTTTTTTTTTTTTAGAGGCATAATTTTTCATCATTGTGTTTTTTTGTATGGGATTTTTATATGAATCGCTATCTGGTGACTTGTTAATTAATTTGATTTTTATGCTCCCTGTCTATACTGTGCGGTGACTTTCGCATCCTGTTTGAATTCTAGTTTGTATACAAATTCTCATCCTGTTTTAGGATCCTCCTCCAAAATTTCTGTATCGGTAGTTTAATATATCAATGATGTATAATTTCCTGATATCCTCACATGTTCCGTCCACTGTTCAGTAAAGTGACCAGACAATCACTGTGTAGGTGTTCATGTATTCGACAATGTATTGATACATAAATTGATATATACATACAACCACCAGTTGGAGATGGTTCAAAGATGGCTCTAGTATCTTCCTGTTTCTTTCTGATTTGTAATGTTAACAATGTTCTTTTCTTTTAGATTCTACAAATCTTAATTAATGTTATTGGTTTTTGGTAAATATCCTATGCTGAGGAACAAGGGAATTTAAATGCTGCCAGTAAGACTAGCTTTTTCCTGTTTTCTAATCTGGGATCCTGTTTACCTCGTGAACGCGCTGATAATTGATCTTGTCAAGGATGTAAATGAGATTTTAACAATAAAGATAAAAAGGAAAATGTATGATGAATCGTCATTCCTGTTCCACAATGCATACACCATAAAAGGAATTTGAAAAGGCAAATTTTAAGTTGCTTCTGTAAGATCCAATCACATACGCAGATTGCTATTAATATGAAATTAATGAGTTTTCCACACACGTGAACATTATTTATGTGCTTTTCACCTTATATTTAATTAATGTGTATACCTGTACACAAGGTTCCCCAGTTTGTTAACCTTAACAAACTCGTCATGATTTATCGTAGTTTTCTGGCAATCGTTCCATCTTTGACCTTTCAAACACTCGTCGAGTGTCACATTGTGTCAGACATCAGTTTGTTGTAGTCTAAAGCATCATGCTCGAAGTACATTTGCTGTGGAGGGAATTCTCAGGTGTGATATCAGAGAGTGCTGCAAGGAGATAAATTCTTATTTCATGTATAATTGAGTTGTTCCTTGTCGGTCATTGGCATTCTTGCTCCTCTACCACCTCATTCTCTTCCTTATTTCTATCCTATGTTTAGACTTTCGTTCTCAACGGTATTGTTGTTGCCAGGCACAATTGCCTCTTTACTTTATGATTTTGAACTTCTTAATTTTCTGCAATGGGATGGCCTCATTATTTGATTTAAAAAAGTATGTAACCCTGTATTTATGACTCTATCTTACTTGAATTTTCTTTTAAAGAAATATCTATAATTTGGAGTATACAGTTTTCAGATAGCATGCTTGTGTTACAAAATTATAAACTGTTCTTCATTATTATTTTATCCACATTTCTAATGCTCGGTGTCATATATGCTTTTCTTTATCGATCTCCTTCTCATATATGGAATTCATCAATATTCCTTTTGGACTATATTTAGTAACTTCGTCAATTGTATCAAGTTCTCGTCCATCCTTAAACCCCAGGTGGAAAGAATGAACTAAGGTGAGAAGGTAATGTGGCGATAAGTGGCACAACATTGTTTTTGTTAACTTTATTTCAATAATAAAAATTTGACAGTCTTCTCAGAACAAGAGCATTTGGATATCCCGGGACCATGGCTCTTTGGCTAATGGAGAGATGGATTATGACACTTCTGCTAGAATTGAACAAAAACGTGCTCATCAGTGGTCAATGGATTCATCTGAACAAGAGCTATTCAGCAACAAGAAGCAAGCAGTAGAACCTGCTAGCAATAGCCCTACTTTAGGAGCCGAAAACATGAGCATGTCTCTGTTCGGCAACAGTCCCAGTACTCAGTCAGATCAAATAAGCGACTGCCTGTTCGGAACCAAGCTTGTCAGGAGTTCAAGTTTTGCTGATAAGAATGCATCCGTCTTTGTTCCTGGGGATCTGAATATGGGAAAGAAGGGTTTTGTGGATCAGTTAGAAAATAATTCATCTATATGTTTATCAATGTTTCGGGATGTGGAAGTTCCCTTGTGTCTGAATACTGGCGTTAGAAAAGTCAAAGTCAACCAGGTTGTCTCAGAGAATCAACTCTCTGAATTTGTGGGGGAATCTTTCAACCCTGGAGACAAGAATAAAATTACTAGTCCCACCTTTCACAGGACAGGTAATGGCGTGTCACTTGCACCAGCTTATAATACTGGAGATAGAAGTACCATTATGGAACCTGTCTTCTGTAAGACGAATGAAAATTCTATTTCAGTGGAACAGGCCTCCAACAAGAGAGATGGCAATTTTATGCTAATGGGTCATCACTATGACAATCTGCTATCTATTGGTCAAGCTTTTGACAAAAGGAATTACAATTTTATTTCGATTGGGGAACAGTGTGAAAAGGAAAACGGCAATTTAATGTCAATTGGTCCTAATTACTTCAAGGGCAATGAAAATTTCATTGCAATGGATGCTTTCTACAATAAAGCAAATGAAGATTTTTTGTCAGCAGGTCCTACTTGTGATAAAGGGGTGATAGACATTACGTCAATGACTTCACTTCACGGTCAGCAGGATGCTACTGTTGCATCACTAGGAAATATCTACAATTATGGAAATTCCAGTATCCTAACAACGGGTCAAACCCATAATAATGGAAAAGGCACTACTATATCTTTTGGGGTCTTCCAGGACAATCCTGATGAAAGTGATCCTTCTGGAAGGTCCATAAGCAACCATGATGGTTTACTAAATCAATTCTCGGCTCAACCATCTGAGGAATTAGGACAAAAGGGTTCTTTGAATTTCCCGAGTACTACCATTGTTTCAGCATCTACTTCAAGGACAGGTAGCAGCCCCAAGAATAAGGAGCAAAAGACAACTAAAAAGGTCCCTTCAAACAACTTCCCTTCAAATGTTAAAAGTTTATTATCAACTGGTATACTTGATGGAGTTCCTGTGAAGTATGTTTCATGGTCAAGGGAGGTGAGTTCTGAGATTCTTTTGTCTTCCATTCTGTTTAAGGGTTTTTGCCTTGACCACAATAACATTTGTGCATGCAGAAAAATCTTCAAGGAGTGGTAAATGGGACTGGTTACTTGTGTGCCTGCAAGGAGTGCAAATTTTCCAATGTAAACGTTACTGATACCTCTCACCGATAGTTCCATTTCTATTGTTCAAGGTGGCATCCTACTGCCTACTAACATTCTATTCCATACTTATATTTTGCAGGAGGTTAATGCTTACGAGTTTGAGCGTCATGCTGGTTGCAAGACCAAACACCCAAATAATCACATTTACTTCGAGAATGGGAAGACTATTTATGCAGTGGTCCAAGAACTGAAGAGTACCCCTCAAGACAAGCTCTTTGAGACAATAGAAAAAGTTACTGGATCTTCTGTAAACCAGAAAAATTTCCGTACTTGGAAAGGTGATTATTTTTAATTTCTTCATGGAAGGATATTTTGACTTTTTTTATCCCTGGAACGATGAATATGTTTTATAAGTCTGCATGTGAGACAATCTTTCCTCTCTTTTCCTTCTCAGCTTCATATCAAGCTGCAACCCGTGAACTTCAGCGTATTTATGGGAAGGATGAAGTGGCTGTGCCATCCTGATATGTTGTCTGGTGCCGAAATTTTGGAGGTTGGTTGACAGCTGATGTGCATGTAGATTGTGTACATGACCATGGGAATTATACAACTTATATGGAGCATTAGACTTGTTAGGAATTGAATGCTGATCTACAAATTGATCTTTCGAACATTTTACTGCTATTCTGTTTTCTTCTGGGTAAGATATTTTCTGTGAAAAGTAAATGTATTAGAAGCTTCCCCCACCCAAAAAGATTTGGTTCCTTGTTATTTTGGCGTCTGGTTATATTGATTGTGGTAGTCTGATCAATATAAAAAAGGGAAGAGCTTAGCAGAAATCCAAGACCTGAGATTTTATTTCTTCCAAAAATTCCCAGATCTCAAATTAAACAAACTTAAATTTTGCCAAAAAAAAAAAACTATTATTTGTCTGACTATAGAAGTGTACAACCAGCCGTGTCGTTCGGGGTGGTTATCTCTTTGGCCATGTCATGTCAAACCATCCAATCACCACTGGAACCTAAATTACCCTCGAGAAAATTAATAAATGGCAAAACTAGGGAGGTATATTTAATTGAAATTTTTCTTTCAATATTTCTCTTTATTTTCTTTTCTGCGAATATTAAAGTTATGATTAAAAATTATTTTTTCTATTGATTATATCTGTTTTTATTTTTCTTTCTCTCTATTTTATTGTTTTTTTCTATTTTCTATGAAAAAACTAAATTGGATCATTTTAACTTTCTTTCCATTCATTTTTGTGAAAAATATTTATTTTTAATCAAATTTTAAAATGTTATAAAGATTAATATATAATTAAAATTTTAATATATTAACTTTTTATTTATTCTTTAAAGGTATGTTATATTAATAATACTGAATATTAAATTTATTATTTTGAGTATTATTTATTCAGCCCTCGTTTGAGCCTCATTCTTTAAAAAAAAAATAAAAAAATAAAAAAAAAAAAAAATATATATATATATATATATATATATATATATTCTTAAACAGTGTATTGATATCATTTCAGTCATATATTTTTTAATAAAATAATATTATACGTAAATTCTAAACTTTTACTTATTTTTTAACTTCACATTTTCCATCAATACACCATTCAAAAATTTATTTTCTTTCCAAAATGGGCTCAAACAAGGATTTAATTAAGATTTTATATTTTTATTCATTTTAAAATATTTTTTATAATATCAGTGAGGGGGAGGGGAAAGAGAATAGGAATTGTAAGAACCATCGTCTTGTATGTAAAAATTTCACATTATTACATTATGTTCATGTGAATTTTACTTCAAATGAAAGTTTTCAAAAATCTTTTGAATAAAAGTTTTAAAATAAAAGTCTAGACTTCTACTAATTCTATACAAATCTATCAAAAATCTACGAAATCTATAGAAGTCATCACTTTAAAAAAGTCTATTAAAATTTTCAAAAGTTCCAATTGAATACAACCCTAAAATTCCAAAAAATATTTACGTATATTTAATATCTTTTTTCATTAAATTAATATATTTTTTAAATGTTAAATCTTATGTTGACATATTTTAACACATACAATTTTACATTTTATTGGACAGGTTTGTAAATTTTTTTTAAAGCGAAAACGAGAAAAAATTCATATGAGTAGATATTTGAAAGCACAAACATCCAGCAGTTCTTCCATTTCAATCACTTATATCCGCGATACACTATTAAAAGCACAAATAATATGATTCATCAAGATTGCAAGTTAAATCAAAGATTAAAGACTACCCATTTACAAAATCATGAAATGTAAACCATAAAAAGAGAAAGTAACCTTGAATTACTGTGTAGGAGATGATGAATAGTGCAAGTCAATTTTGGATCCCATTTGGCCCCAATTTCGTGGAAATAAAAATGGATGGAATAATGTTTTTTTTTTTTAAATGAGTGGTTAAAAAAGAAAGAAAATTTTTCGATTTACGTGTAATATTATTTTATGAAAAATTGTGTGGTTGAAAATAGACAAGAAAAAAATAAAATGAATAGAATGAAAATTAATAGTCGGAGTTGGATTTCTCCCTTTTTCCTCTTTTTTTTATTTTATCTCTAATCTATCCCTTTTGAAATGAAGGCATTTGTAAGATTTTAAATTTTTTACCTTTTATTTTTAATAAAAGTCTGGTCAAAAAGTCTGGTCAACAGCTTTTTTGCTAAACGGGTCGGGGCACCCGGCCAATTGCCTAATTTTTCTTGTTTGGGTAGTCCTACAAGTGATTTTATAGCAATGTTAAATCAAGATGGTATGCACTTATATGGCCGATGACACTTGATGTAATAATCCAGGGTTAATTATATGAATGGTCACTGAACTTTGTTCTATGTTACTATTTAGTCACTGAACTTAAAAATGTAACTCAATGGTCACTGAACTTCGTCAAGTGTTACTATTTCATAACCGAACTTTAAAATGTATATCAATGGTCACCGAATTTTGTATCGTGTTACCCATCCGTCACTCAAATGAAAAAATCAGTTACGTCCAACAAACGGCATCAATTCGAGTGACGAATGGGTAACACGGTGCAAATTTCGGTGACCATTGAGATACATTTTAAAGTTCGATTATGAAGTAGTAACACTTAGCAAAGTTCAGTGACCATTAAGTTACATTTTTAAATACAATGACTAAGTAGTAATATAGTTGAAAAATCAAATCGACCTCAGTTACATTGGCACTATTCGAACATTTTTGTACTTTTATTTAATTTTTCTTTGTCAATTTTTTTTAGTGTTCTAACTATTTCTCTTTCAATCTTTTTATGCGGAGCTTGAGATACGGTGAACTGATACCAATTGATCTAAAAATTAAACGTACTTTTTCACCATGATAGATGAATATTAGCAACAATTCTATTTTTATTTAGTTTATAGGTCTCTGATTTTCTGTTTCCTTTTTTTTCCTTCATTTTCTTTGATTTCTTCTTTCATAAAGGTCGATTTGAAAAGTTTAGCCTTTTTTGATCCCCATTTTGAGGGATAAAATGAATTTTTGAATAATATATTAATGGAAAATGTGTAGTTAAAAAATAAGAAAAAAATTTGGATTTGCTTGTAATATTATTTTATTGAAAAACGTGTGATTAAAAGATATCAAATCACTGTTTAAGAATATTTTTTTTTTTTAAAGAATGTGAATCAAACAAGGGCTTAATAATTCGATTTCAAAATATATCTTAATGGTCACTGAACTTAAAAATGTAACTCAATGGTCACTGAATTTCGTCAAGTGTTACTAATTCATAACTGAACTTTAAAATGTATCTCAATAGTCACCGAACTTTGCACCGTGTTACTCATCTGTCACTCAAGTTGACGCCGCTTGTTGGACTTAACAGATTTTTCCATTTGAGTGACGGATGGGTAACACTGTGCAAAGTTCGGTGACTATTGAAATACATTTTAAAGTTCGATTATGAATTAGTAACATTTGGCTAAATTCAATGATCATTGAATTACATTTTTAAGTTTAATGACTAAATAGTAACATAAGGCAAAGTTCAGTGATTATTCATATAATTAACCCTAATAATCTATTTAACAAGACAACTCATTTGATGTGTACGTCGCATACTATCAGTTAGGTATTGTTTGATATGATTTATTTTCTATGAAAAAAAATTTCCACCTTCCACCTTTTGCATGTGTTTGATGGCAAAAATTTTCTAGAGAATTTCTTTCGCGTCATCATGTGATGCATTTTCCATCAATCGATGAGAATTGGATTTTTCAGCCTTTTTTTTTTTTCAACAATGGGAACAAATTCTATCAACAATTATAAAAAAAATTTATCACTTTAATCGACAATTTTCATGAAAAAAAATGCCAAACGAATACCAGAAGATCGTGAAAAATTATACCAATCAAACACATTTAATTAAAAATTATAAGTAAAACAAGTTCTAGACAATTCAATTCCCTAAAATTCATTTTCTTTCCACCCAAATTTCATTCTTATAATCAAATAGACCCTTGATGTGATATCTTGCGAGCTAATTAGAAAACAGCTAATAAAATGGAAACTTATCAGACAAGATTATACAGTCAACTGAATTCTTGTTGGTCCCATCAAATATAATTTTCCAGAAACAGTTTGGTGTGACAAATCTTGAACTTGAGTGACCATTGCATAGTCACATTCTAATTTATATATATGAGTGTGTATCATCATAATTCAATTTCTTGGACCGGATAACAATGGCCCCGCAATCAAAAATCCTGAAAAGAGAAGGAAAAAGTCTCTTGGACATTGTCTCCCAATGGTTCAATAGCTTTTGAAATGAAATCCAAGTTCTAAAAAAGCTCAATCTTAATCCATTATAAATATCACAGATTTAAACCAATTCCAAACAACTTTCTAGCCCACAGAAAAAGAAATGATAGAAAAAACCAATCACAGATGTTGAGAGCAAGCCACATACAGCACTGTACATAAATTACAAAATCAAATCTCAAAACACTTCAGGTAAACTCAATCTCTTATCAACATCTAACCCCTTCCAATGCTTTCAAAAGTAATCCCTAGATTGTGCTATTGAAAAAGGTTAGTCACTGTCCACCACCAACTTTTGTTGCAAGAAGAATCCTTCAATAAAACAAAACAATTTCGCATCACTCCCGAGGACAATATAATGTTTGTACATTGCTCCTCGTAGATTTTAAGAGGCATTAATCAACCAAGAAGCTTGTGCTTTATGGCTGCATCCAGGAGTAGTTGAACGCAGTTCTTTAATATCAAGATGATGCATTCCTCTTTTCTTCAAGTATCGCACCCTCTCTAAGTGCAATTTGTGCCTCATTTTCCTTCCCTAAAGCGAAAAGGGCAGCAGCTTGCAAGTAAGATGCTATATGCCAAATAGGAGAAATAACTTGTGCTTGTACCGCATCATTGAGGGCCTCCTGTGGCATATCACTCATGAGATAAGACAAACAACGGCGAGCAAACACAGTTGGGGAGACCATTGTACCACCGTCAATAAACTGCAGTAACAGTTATAGGAGAGTGATGATTATTAGACTGCCGAAAATTATCAAAGTACACAAGAGTTGATAGGACAACAGCAATACTGTAGTGGAAGAAACCAAATAAGTCAGAGATCAAACAATGATTTTTGTACTTTTATCGCATCCATCCTTCAAAAATGTGTGTGAGTTAATTTATAGGCAGGTAATTATTTTCCTTACCTGCGTGTAACATTCAATTGCAACCCCAAAATCTTTATGCCGGAAAGCTACATCACCCTTTTTCTTGGAGTTCAAAGTTTCCTGCATTTGATTTGTCCACATCTGGAATGAAAGCTGCATATGGTAAAAATACAATTGTAAGGTAGACCCAATAACACTCTCTTGTTGAAAGTTGTAATAAACTGGTATATTCAAACAATATAAAAAGCATTTTAGCAATTATCATCCACGAATGACCATGTTATGTGGGGTATAAGGTTAGAGGAGGTGGGTGTGTGTGTTTTGGAAGTGGAAAATGACTTTTAAGTATGCAAACCTCTGTAGCCGCTCCCTCGTCATCTTTGTACCCAAGTTTTTCTAGTATCTCGTGTATGGCAGTCAAATCCATTCTTAAGCACGCATCACCAAGTGCGGATAGAGACATAGCCTCGCTACCATGAGGAATGCCCATTAATACATGGGAAGGAACCTACAAGAGGAAATACGAACAATACAGATTGATATAATACACCAGTCTCATAGAATCACAATAATGAAAGTGGCCATAATTCGACCACAGAGCAAGTATTTTACCTTCCAATTTTTTATACAAGGAACTATGACATTCATATGGAGATAGAAGAATATCTAGAGAAGTAGGTCTACGATAATACCAGATACTAAAACTCTATCAACAATTGCAAGCAATTGGCAAATATTACATCAGTCAAACCAGCTTTCGCTACTGAAACTAACATTAGGATATTTCATAATTTCAAATAGGCAACCAATTGACAGTTCAATCATTCTTGAACTAGGGGATTCAAAGTCAAAGAAGATTAACTATCAAGAACTGTCCTCTGCTCCAGTTATTCTATATTCAAACAAAAGTTCCCAATAAATACTGTCGGAATTATACAATCTTGCTTATGCCAGTCTAACTAGATCTGGTAGTAACTGAATCATCCTTAATGACTAACCGCCTAAAAAAATAGATTAATTGAAATTGCTTCGTTGAAGCTAATTCATTGTGAATCTCTATAACGAATGTAACGCGTTATTTATGGTGTTGTAGCCACTTACAACACAATCCTAGCAAGTAGAATCCTATGTAACAGTTAAGACGCAAGTTGAGAGTGGCAAACTCTGCATACAAGAATAAAAAATAAAAATGTACAAAAGCAAACAAATAATTTTTTTAAAACTACTCAAATATAAATAGTTTTATGTTCAGAGAGAAAATCAACCTCAGTTTCCTTCTGAAGAGGAATCAATGCAGCAACTAATGATTTTGGATTTGGCCTCTCACGGGGTTCGTATTGCAAACACCTTGACGCTAGACGTACTAACTCAGTTCCATCATCATTTGAAAATTGACCTTCCAAGCAAGAATCAGTTAGCATCTGAAGGTTCCGATCCTTTATCAAATCAAGGGCCTGAGACATTGAATCTACTATTAGATGCCTTACATAATTAAATACAAGTACATTGCAAAGCTGCTCAGAAATTAAAAGAAAGGAATGCAAACAACCAAAAATAAAGGAGTTAAAGGAGACTAATAAGTCAATTTTATGAGTAATCTTCATATATGGTCCAACAGATCTCTCTGTCATGATACGATTCACAGACAAATTCTGACATGAAAGAAGGAAGATATAATGTGGTTAAAGTACATATTCAAGGTGCCTACATTTTGACAGATGAACCTTTAAATAGCAGATACTTTATACAGAACTCTTTTATCATGGTCAGGTCAAATGATTCGATCAACGTGTTACAGGCTTCCCCATCTATCTCTGAAGCACCGAAAGGAACTTGACATGCCTCCACATCTCATTACAGGAAAAAAGGGAGAAAGGGCTTTTGGTGTTTAACAAATCAATGAAGTATGAGACATCATAGAAGTTATCTCCCTCAAGTTCTAATCAACTTACTTCAATTAAGATGCTTAAAGTAATCAATAATACACCCGGTATCTACAATCGGCCTCTTAACACGACTCCTATCATTTGTAGATAGGTACATGGGTTGCATTGTCAACACACTAATATCTAATTCGGTTGTTTTATGTATAAACTAAAATTTCTGCCGCCAAAGAGAGGAATGGAAGCAGATAGAAGACATTATTGGCATGTTTGGTAGCACAGATAAGGTGGTACTTGATAGCATTAACTAATAAAAAGAAGTTAAACTTTGTTTAAAGAACTTTACAACTTCATAGTGCTTGCCAAATATGCACCATGTGCACAAGGGTTCACTACTAAATTTGCACTGTCTTTCCATACATTTATATGTGGCATCGACAGGCCAAGTTACAATTTTTTTCCTTAAAGAAATTATATGATTACGAAACTGCAATATGTGTAAAACAATGAGTTCACACAGAAAATGTTAGTTGTTATAAGGGAGACAGATCACTGGTGGGTGTACCTTGCATACACTGACGAAAGGTTTTTAAAGCTAAATTCAGATGATAACTATCTCAAGTACGAATGTGTCAGTGCATTACAACTAATATCTTCCCGGAAGTAAATCTAAGATAGTTTTTCCACGCTGGTAATTATACAATATGATTAGCTAGCACACCTTGTACTTCAAAAGTCATCTTGCATTCTCAACAAAAGACTTACATGGCTTGGAGGAATGTGTTTTCCACTGAGAAGGTCAAGTAAAAGTGTGCCAAAGCTGTATGTTACACTTTCTGGACTAACTCTTCCTACAAAATTGAAAATTAAAGATAAATTAGTTAACGGTCCAAGAACATAAGTATCAATGTGGATTTACGTAGAACATAGAAAGAATTACAAATATCAATAACCAAACAAATAAGATGAATTAGATATCAAGTCAACATCTAATGCATACAGTGTAGTTAATCAAAAAATTCAAATTGATAATAATTTGAAAATACATAAAAGATCCAAATTGAGCCTGCATCAAATTGTCTATCTTTACTATCCATAGAAAAAAGAACACGTAACTCAGCGTGTAGTTTCCTTTGAAGCATCTAACCTAGAATTTTATAGGTTACAGAAACCCCACCACCCCAACCAACCCTCTTTTCTTAAAAATCAAAAAGAAAAGGGAAGGCTAAAATGGAACCCAAAACGAACATACCCGGAAATAATTGAAATGCATTATGAAACACAATGGTAAACTTGGATCATGCTCCAAAAGGACACAAGACAAAACTTTAAGCTTCTCCAAAAATTCCAAGAGAAACTGAGGATATCAGAAGGCTCAGCTTCTTTATACAAACCCATTGAAGCAACTGTTGATCTATATAGATTTTCAACACGCAAAAATTACATCCTAGAGGTTGACTAATCGACGTATGTCATGCCATAGGGAAAAAATACCATATCAAAGTAATTCCACTTCTGTTTGGTAAGCAAATTCTTCCTTTCAAGTTTAATTATCAAAAGCAAATGTGATTAATCAATTAGCTAAACCATGTCATCCCACGATCATTAACTTAATATGTGTATGTTTAAAAATTTTTATCAACGGGTCAAACTTCAATTTTAACAACACATTGCATGGGACTCACAACTTTTATCAACTTTTCAACCACAAGTTTCATCAACTTTTACTAGAATCTACTATAACTTTTACAAAAAGCTTTGTCAAACAACCGTTAATTTACTTTTAAGAATCTTTACCAGAATTATAGAAGTTCTTTATATCCCAGAATCATAACAATATGCTTTGATCTTAGAACTCGTTGCTTGAAAACTTTCAGATTTCATCCAAATCCCAGAATATATCAAAGTTTTTAATTTTTATTTCGGTTTACTAATATAAGAATGTCATACTACATCAAGAAACAACTACAGTGTAAACATAATGATTAGAGGAGTTCCTCAGAAAATGTTAATAATATTTTACCCCCCACATATTATTGGTGCATCAACCCTTGAACTTTCAATTACACCATTCTCCACCTCACACTTCTCATTAATTCCCAACCCCACTCCATTAGCTAGTTTTGCCAAGTCAATACCAGTACAACAAATGATGTAAACTTAGGTCAAAGTACAAGGTATTACACATTGATGCCATGTAATTATCGTCCCTCTTAGTTTGTGATGCCTCCCCCCACCCCAACAATGTACTGAGAAAATGTAACTTGCCCACATGCCAGGACTGAAACACTTTGTCTCTTTATATGGGTTAAATGTGAAGAGTTTTGACTTCCAGTATGTGATGGATCAGCATACAGCAAAACAGTTTATAATAAAACTCCAGCCCAAACTTATAGGCCAAATGCATGTTATTCTTGGATTTTTCCCCCTGGGAGTACTGTAATATGGTACATAAGAAACAGTCAGTGGGTTTTGTTTGGGATATTAAGTAGCAGTAACCTAGCTTCTCCCGACTACAAAAGATTATTATCATTTCACTTTCAGCAATCAGGAACAGTCTCATGTTTCATGATTTACAGACAAAGCTCACACAGAGAGAAAGCTAATAAACTGCGAGTAAATATTAGTGTTAAAATAATATATGAAGCTATTCTGATACAAAATCTCCGATGATTTGTGGTAGTTCCCAAACGTGAACAGTGGCTTCTTACTTTAAATTGCATTGAGTTCGTATTCTCACTAGGTGAGCATTGAGCAAGAATACCAGATGTATTATGGATGGTTTAAACACACAGTAAATTTGAGTGAAAAATTCATCATAGAAAATTTTGATAGCTGAGCATGGTGTGGACAAAGTTGCTAGCATTTATTCTTGACTTCAAATAATATAAGTGGTGATCATCTTATCGGAAAGATGATGGCAGGAAAATTTTCATAATAGAACTCATTGATCTCAAAGCATGTCATTCAAGAAACAAATATTAATGACTGCCATTTAAAACTAATTTGGCTTATGGGATTTATTTCTGGAGTGAGAGATAGTACCAGTCCTTAGGTACTCCGGTGGAGTAAATGCCAAGTTAGTGCTGTAGCTCTTTCCATCTCTACTGTTCTTCATCAAACCAAAGCATGACAATCTGGGATTACCATCCTGCGACAAAAAGCGGAAAGAAAAAACAGAAGTGAAAAATTAGAACTATGAGTTTGTCCACTTCAAAGAATGTAGACTCAAGGAGAAAAGAGACAGGATCAACATAATTTCATACTTACATCATCAAAGACTATTCTGTAAGCATTAAGATCATGATAAAGTGCACGTCCTTTGCTTGTACAATATTCTAGGGCTTGCGCAATATATAAAGCCACCCTTAACCGCATTGCCCACTTCAATGGTTGTGTCTCCCCTGAATCAACACACAAATGAAACATAACAATAGCATTTGAAACATAACAATAGCAAATACATGAATGACCCAAGTACAATTAGGTTATAATGAAAGAGAAAACAAGTGAGTAAACTTAATCCCCATGTACTAACAGTCAAAGAAATCAAAGAAGTCCAAAAGTTAAAAATTAAAACTCTTTAACTGTGAGAAACAAAATCCAAAAAATGACATTCGATATATACTCCAGCATCTATGCCTACACAGCTTTTCTTCATTTTGATCACATCTCGTGTTAGCAGGGAGAAAGGAGTTTTTGGAAATGAGGCACTAATATAATCAGTTTCAGTCATCACTGTTCACTAAATTGGCGTAAACATTAACAGATGCAACAACTTAGCCACTTTAAATGTCAGCAAATGTCCTTAGAGTTAAAAAAATTGAATAGAAATATAAAAGCAAAGGTCAGCTCAAACTTTATTTTTTATTTTTTATTTTTTTCATTTAGGGAGTACAAGAGTAAACGATGTAGAAGAGCATTTGATGCAGATGGTCGTTCTTGTGATATGTTAGTGCCCCAGATTAGTGCATTATGCTTACAATTTTAGACACCACCACATGGTGAAAAGAGAGTACCTTGTATTTCAAACAAATACAGACGAAGCTATGTGGCAGCAAAGAAAAATCGGTTGAAAGTGGAAATGAACCAACATTCATTATTCATAATTACTATGCATATAGAAGAACATCTATGTGATAATATTAAAAAAATAATAATAATAATAATAATAATAATTTGGAATAGCTATAAAAAGATTGCACGTTATGTGCTCACAGTGAAATAGATGTTTTGCAAGTGTCTCGTTGGGCATGAACTCTGCAATAAGTAACCTCTCATCTCCTTCACAGCAGCAGCCAATCAAATTTGCCAATCTGTGGCTCCGTAGTTGACCAACAGCTCTCGCTTCTTCCTAAAGTTTCATTAAGGAATTTTTTTTATTACAATCTAAGCAATTGAGTAAACTGTGACGCTTATAAAACTACAAGAGTGTCATAAAACCAAATATCATTAAGCTCTAAGTAAGTCATCATTACCCTGAACCTCTAAATACAGAGAGAGAAGAAAAAATTACACAACGTCAGCTAATAAATAAATCTGACCTCACAAAATAATAACTCCAAAAATTGAGGTGAACTGAAACTAGACATAGGATGAACAAGACTCCAATTATATCACAGTAGTTAGTTAACAAAGACCACCTTTAAAATAGCATCCAAAGCAAGAATACAACATTCAAAGAGCTACTTACCAAGAACTGCCGGGAATCGGGCCAAGCCGATCTGTTAAATCGTTTGACAGCAACACGCCTCTGATTCTCCAGCTTTCCCTTGTAAACGACATTAGGGGCTTTCTCCCCATGCTCTGAAACAATGTTCTCTACTGCGAAGCCAGATGTAGCCACCCTCAGTTGTTCGATGGAGTATTCACGAAATGTAGGCAAATCGCTAACTTCACCATTTTCCTCATTTTCTGCCAAATAAATGAAGATACCATGAAAACAGAATTTTTGATCGCACAAAAGGAAAGAGGGAACTGTACACAAAAATGGGAAGCAGTAAAAATTTTAACACACCAGCATTATGCGCCTCATGCACTGGTCCATTTTGCTCCGATGTAAAACAACATGAAGTGAGTTTAAAACACTTGCAGCCCATCTTGAGTTTAGACCACTTGCAGCCCATCTTGAGTTTTGAACACTTGCAGCCCATCCCAAGACCACCAATCAGAAGCAAACACAATTGAGCCTTCAAAATGCCACAAAAACGACAAATTCTTTAGCTCACATCTTACCTCAAATGTTCAATAATATTTTTTAGTTTTTACAAGATTAAAATCCTTTAATAGTCACGAATAAAAGCTGATAGTATTGCAGCAAAGGTATAGCTCGCATCAACACTTGCTCCAGTATGAGTGTGCTGCATATGTATGTCTGCGATGAGTATACCCATTAATGTGTGCACTTATCCGGTGCGTTATTATAATTGGTAGCTGCTTTGATAATGCAAAAGTTCCAATAATTTCGTCATAACCGTCAACCACTTGTTATAAAACAGCCCATGAGTCAGTATCTTTTTATTAATCCATAAACACAGAACAATTGTTTTCACACCAAACACGAGTTACTCCTATTTAATACCCTAACAAGCTAAAGTGGTAAACTAGTTCGGATAAACATTTAATTGTAAGAAAAAGGCACAAGTAAGAAACATAAATACTCGTGTTCCATTTGCAGTCCGAGTTACGTACAGAAATAAAGCTTTTCAGTTCAATCTCAATTCACAAGTCAGCCAAAAAACTAAAAAGTATCAGTAATTTAAATTATGATAAAATTACTTTAGTAAATATTCAAATCTGGGTCAATTCTGAAACACAAAAATCATCTCTTTCTGAATCCCGGAGATTCCAACTTTTTGCAACGCCTCCCAGGAAAGGAACCTTTTTAGCCCGAGTCAACACAGTAAATTCACCTGACCAGAAAAAGCAAGCTCAATCAATCAAAGTCATCACTAAAAACCCATAATCCAAAATATAACACCAACCCATTAGTCAAAAAACAAAGAATCAACTGAAACTCATTTTACAACATTTAAAAAAAAAAAAAAAAAATCCCGTATGCCACGAATGAAAAATAAACAAAACCTATAAATGCTACAGAAACAATAAATGAACATTAAAAGATCTCCATGATTACCGATTTGGTCAAAGCACAAAGCGAAAGACTTCAATTATACGTCTGTTCAGGTAATTATTTTTGTATGGAAAGTTCTCTGTACAGGTGGTTGCTGAATAGAGTCTAAAAAGATGGATCAGAAAGATGGACCAAAAATATTCAGAGGTATATATGTAGAGACAGGTGTGTGTGAATATGGATTTTTAGATACAGATGTATTTGTGCACTGTGTGCGTCTCTTGTGTAGATCTCCAGTTTATGCAGCATCAGGGACACTTAACCCTTTTCTTCTGTCTTTCCACCGACTCAATGTCCATTTTTCCTACAAAAATTCTTTCCCAATTCTTAGTGATTAAAATCAATTATTTAATTTGACTAGAAGTATTCAGTCTTATATTTCATGATACTCACCAATTTTCAATAACATATTTCATCAAAATTTTCTACCAAACGAGGGTTTACTAAACTTTCATACTTTGCCACGTGTTTAAACATTTTATTAGTGTAAATATATTTTTAAGTTACTTAGCTCAAATTAATTTTTTGTCTGTTATTTTTTTAAATTAATCGTCATTTTTTACTTCTTCACTCACGTATGAAACTTACTTTTCTCTATGACGATCAAAAAATTGATTCTCAAAATCATTGCTGACCATACCCTTATTTATGAGAAATTACTCACAAAAAAAAATGTGCTTTTAAATGGGAAGTCTAAATTTATTTACAGAAAAAGTAAATTTTGAATATAACCCCTGTTTGTTTTCCATTCTTTTTCTATTAAAATGAAAAATATGACCGTTATCAATTACATCAAACCACCAAATTTAAATTTCTATCCCTTGTGTGGGGCCTATAATGAATATATTTTTCATTCTTATTTTTACAAAAATGAGAAACAAACGCTCCTATAGATCAACGTGCTCTTAGTGCATTTGGAGTGCTCGTTTATTAGCTTTCAATTGCGTGAATTTTCTATTAGGAAATTTATCCAATTCTTTTTTATATTTTCCGTGGGAAATTGTCAAAATAACATCTTTTATTCTTCGTTTACGTAGGGGAGGACTTACGGTATTATTAGAAATTAAATTTCAGGCAGCTTTGCACTTTCTAATTAACAATTGTAAAAGACATTCCACGATGACTTGTCGTCGGATTTTTTTCCAATTGACTTTTTGCAATTCCCTTGAATATTTATTATTGATACTAATAAATTAAATTAAATAGTTTAACACTTGAATAAATTGAGAGCTCAACGTTAAATATTCTACAATCTAAATAAAAAAAAATTAATTTTTATGCTATGTTTCAATGTAAACAAATGGATAAGCGTCGTTTGGCATGCTTAAATCAAAAGAGTTTTTTTCAAAATAAAAAATAAAATATGTGATTAAAATTAGTTGTTGATTTTGATTTTAAAATTTAATCTACGTCGAACAGAGGGTAAATGTCATATAATTATTTAACTAACTAATGTTTCTTTATTATAAAATCAAAAAAATAAAGTTCTAGATTTTTAGTCGATCTTGATAAAAATTGATGGAATGTGTAATTGAAAAGTTGTAAGATCTATAAAATGTAATTAAAATTAATAATTGACGTTGCCTTGAATTAAAATATATTTTTGTAGCTGAATCTAATAGGGTTTAATGTGTAAATTTATTGTTAGGGTAGATTTTGTTGTGTAAAACGTATTAGTTTTTAATATTAATTAGGTTAAGATGACAAATTATTATACGTCATAAAAATATGAAATACTATAATATCTTGTATCATCTTAAAATTTCATTTATAAAATATATTGTTTCAGCATTAACAAAAGAAAAATAATACTAAATAACCGTTAAGGGAAAAAAAATGTCATATTAACTATATCAAACATACATACAAATTAATGTGCAGGAAAATACATTGCTATAAACTAATAAGCATAATTAAAACTTATTTTAGAAAAGCTTCAAATGGGAGCTTCTCTGAACAACTTTAAAATGTTATTTTTATGTCGATAAATACTTCTTTTATCACACTTTTTTCAATCATATATTCACCAAAAAGTCATTTTCACATTTCTATATAATTTTTCCATACTTTTTATTTTTCAACAACAATATATTCTCCAAGAAATTCACTTTTTACAAAATTATTTTTTCAAAAATCAATTTAAACAATGATGCGTTAGTACTTTTTGGCCTTTTAAAGTGCTTTTGAGATCTTAAAAAAAGCCCTCCCAACACACATTAAACCTACATCAAATAAAGAAGAAAATATTAATCAACATATAAGAGTTTGAATTGCTCACCTTATCATTATTGATCTTTTAAGATGAAATTTCAAATTTTAATATAGTATCAAAAATTAAGCTCAAACGAGAAATTGAATTTCCAAATTGGTGTGCTCCAACGAGCTCTATCTTGATGTAGCATATTAAGAAATAAAGTTCACATTGAACTACGATAAAACATAATATTGATCTTTTATGATGAAATTCCAACTCTTGATAAATATATTGATTGAAAACTAAATTTAGATTTAACTTGAATGTTGTTAGAAATAGTAAAAATTCATAGAATCCTAATTCTAAGATATTCACTGAAGTATCCTAAATATTTCATAGATTTAAATCAATCTTTGTCATTCGTTAAAATAAAGCGATACAAACTAAACTAGCATGCAACTCTCACTCTCTAAAATATTTATATTCCTCCACTACATTGTCCTACATCAAAATATCACTTAAAACGCTCTGAATTTGAGTGAATTGTCCAAATGGTCACTAAACTTTGCAAAAGGTTTTCAAAGGGTCATTAAACTTTAAAAATCACCTAAATGGTCATTGAACTTTGTAAAAGATTTCTACTGAGTCACTGAACTTTAAAAATTACCTAAATGGTCACTGAACTTTGTAAAAAATTTCCCAAGGATCACTAAGTTCAGTGATCTCATGAAAGCCTTTTACAAAGTTCAGTGATTTCGTGAAAACTTTTTGCAAAGTTCTGTGACCATTTAGGTGATTTTAAAAGTTCGACGATCCTGTAAAAACATTTTGCAAAGTTCAGTGACCATTTATTTGATTTTTAAAGTTTAGTGACCCCTTTGAAGCTTTTTACAAAGTTCAGTGATCATTTAGGCTATTCACTCCTCTGAATTTTAATAGCTCAAAGCGTTATTAAACATAATTTTCTTTAAGCCAAGCGATAATTTAAATGAATAAAAAACGTGGAATGAAATTCGACCAAGTTAATACACAATGGAAATAATAAATTTTGTATCCAAATAAACCTGCATATTTTAAGTGTTATACCGTAAGTCCAATCAATTTTGGACATGAACGCTATTAATATATAATTGATATAATTTTATGGCAGATCTGTTATTTAATTAGTATTTAATTAAATTAAATAATAGAGTCCGTAAATTCAAATATTGATAATTTGTTAATTATAAGGAGTTGTAATTGTGAGATACAAATTACATATAATTGAATTTTAAATATACATGATCATAAATAATAATAATAATAATAAGATACGGACATCGTCATTAAGGATAGATCATAACGTGTGGCATTTCTTGCTTGTGAAGTATATAGTTGATCTCACAAGTTAAAGTGTGGCGATACTTAAATGTACACGTGGATATTTTGTTATAAAACAAAACGTTAGAGACCCGCTAGGAGATTCCTCATGGATAACTATTTGAGTGTCAGTGATTAATCTATAACGTTCGATAGTGGAATTGGTCCTTTAACTTGAGGTCATTATAGTGCCTTATATGATGACAGTCATACTTTGATGATGTTGGATGTTGCTCTGCTAATGGCCGCTAATACGACATCGTTCGAGTATATCAAGAATCATATAAATGTTATGAATAATTAATAGAGGATTCGTTACCCTTAGATAGTAAGAAATTATGATCCACAATTCATTCAATTAAATTTATAACGAAATCAGTGGCCAAGGTGTACTCATAAGTCGAAAATGAGATTTTGACTTATATTGACTTAATAGTGGAATGAAAGATATGATCAATAATTGGGATTGACACACTTCCATTATCGTTATTGATCGGATCATATTGATAGATGGATTATAATTTCACGGTAAACGAACAAATTTTGTTTTGTCATACCACGAGACATTTTTTGTCACATGTATTGCCCTAACACATTACTAGATGTTAATCTGGAACAGTGAATGTGAATTGGTGGTGTTTTAATTTATTAATTTTGATTAGATCAAAATAATAATTCATGTCGTTAGGTATCGTAATTGGGAACCTGATGAGTCACACACAAAATGAGAACTAGAAGATTGTAATTTGTCAATTAATTAATTTAACAAGCGTTTGATAAATTAATTAATTCATGAATCGGATTTAGTTAAATGAGTTAATTGAATGTTGGACTGGGTCAGGATATAGGTCAAGCCCGTTTAAGCTTATATAAAAATAAGTGGCTAGTGGTTGGAATTTGTAGAGAAATCAAATTTTTATTGCTGAAACAAGAGCAGAAAAATCCTGGCTCTCATACAATCTTGTTCTCTGTGCGAAATTCTATTGGAGGCTGCACAATTGGACAGTTGTGGATGACATATCAAGATTGCCGGGACCCAAAAAAAGCAAAGGAGTTTGCAGATTTCGCAAAAAAGATACAATTTCTATCTAAACACAAAACAAATTTTTGGTGGGAATTGAAATTTGTTTTATTTTTCACTACGCATGATAAGCAAATTCCCAACACAAACTTCCTCCAATTTATTCAAGCATACATTTGAAATTTCCAAAAAACCAAAACCAGTTTCTCCCGTCTCGCAGAAAGCTTTAAAATTTCTTTTGACACAATTGTAAGGTCTATTTTGTAATCGGCAATTTTCTAGAATAAAAATAATAAATTATTAGAATTGTATTAGGATTTAATTATATTGCAATCAAAGTCAAAATAATTTCCGAATAGTCTAAGTTAGGGTAAGCGTAGTTTGGGGTTGATAGAGTCTAAAGAAAAGTCAAAGAAATCCTAAAAGAAGATCAAGATTTAGACTTGAAGAAGTTGATATAGAGTGAGACATATTCTGGCTAGCCTATTGCTTAGCCGGTGCTTAAGTGACAGAAGCATAATACCTATCGCTAGCCTAGTGCTAGACTGGCACTCGAACAATAAGTGCGTCGCTAACCCAAGCTCAAGCGATGTTGTTATGAGACGGAATCCATTTTGCTTTAAAAATACGTGATTTTCTTTCCTATTTCATCCCAAATACTTTCCCTATAAATATATGACCCCATGAATGTCCAAAATATTATTGAATCATATTATTCCATAGCGATAGTTCCTTG